CATCACATACAGAGAGAGGGGACACAGATAAAAGTGAACGTGCATATTCGCATATTCTGCAAGAGATGGTTGGATCCTCGAGGAGTGGTAAAGCAGCAGAAATGCGAGTGAAAGAAATCGGATTGAAGGCACCATCTTACAGATCCATGAACAGGTCCATATTGGGGAGCGGTCCCTATCGGGGAGGGGTTCATCTCGGGGAGCGGTCCATTAGCAGGTCGCTATTGAGATTGAAAGGGCCATCTTGGGGGTCGATCAGCAACTCGATCTTGGGCAGCAATCCATATTGGGGGGCGCTCCAACAGCAGATCAATCTTGAGATTGAAAGGTCCTCCTTGCAGGCCCATAAGCAGGTCAATCTTGGGGAAAAGTCCATCTTGGGAAGCGGTCCATTTTCTGGAGCTGGAGCTGGAGCCGGAGCCGCGGTTGACCAGCTGGCCCACCAACTTGAGATTGACAAATCCATGTTGCAGGCCCATCAGGAGGTCACTCTTGGGGAGCGGTCCATCTTGGGAAGTGGCCCATCAGCTTCAGGAGGGGTCCATCTTGGGGACGGCCCGATCTTGGGGAGCTATCCATCAGCAGACCCTGTTGAGATGGAAAGGGCCCTCCTCCAGGCCCATAAGCAGGTCCACTTTGGGGATAGTTCCATGTTTGGGAGCGGCCCATCTTCAGGAGCGGTCCATCCGCAGGTGCCTCTTGAGGTTGGAAGGTCAGGTTCTCTGGAGATTGAAAAGTCGGGGGTCCATCTCAAGGTATAAAGGTAAGAGGTCCGTCTTGAGATCGAAGGGTCAGGGGTCCATCTTAAGATTGAAAGGTGAGGGGTGCGTTTTGAGGACTGAAGGTCCATCTTTTGCAGGGCGCTCTGGAGATCGAAAGGGCCATCTTGTGGAGAGGTCCAACGTTGGGCGCGGGTCTATCGGCAGGTTCATCTCGAGATCAGAAAGTCTTGTTCGTCGTTGTTTTCAGGTCCTTGTAGCAGCTGCCCAACATGGATACTGAGCACTGAGTTGAGATTCGGTGAGGTTTAGTTTATCCAGTCCCAAAGTATGTTTCACTAAGGACAAAGAAAGGCTCGGTTAGTGGTGGTGATGAGGACATTGACAAAATGGCTGCATCTCTGAGGAAAGTTCCATCATCAGTTCCTTCGGAGGGTCAGGATGAACCTAAGCTCTTGCAGTTTGCGCCATGGCAAAGCTCCGTGGAGGCCGGGTTCTGGGAGCACATGGCCCGAGCGAAAATGGACATGTATCGCTTGAGCGATGCACCACGGCAGGTCGTTGGGTTTTTCAGTCCTTGTAGCCATGATCATGTGCCCTCTTGCCTAAGGCTTCTCTCCGATTCCCTTTGCGAGGATTCCATCCTGACTTCTCTCTCTCCCAAACCATCGGGATCGGTTGATGACATCTCGTCTGCATCTTCTGCCCACGCGTCGTCGTTAACCACATCATCAGCATCCGAATCATCGTCTTCGACAAGTTTTCCGGTTCATGATTCCCTAGTGGCAGAAACTACACACCGAGACGGGCTAGAACCGATGTCAGCATTGCCGTTAGATGGGATGAGTTCTTCTCCTGTCATTCCTGCCGTCATCAGAGAATCCGTGCCTCTCGATCGGGTGTTTGGGAATAGAAATCGCACCCCTGCACCTGGTGTGCTGCTGAACACAAACACTCTCGAAGAGTTCAAAGGTGTTGAAAAGCCTGTGGTTCTTAAGGCCTGTGCGAGGGAGATATGGGATGACATTTTGTCTAGGAGGGCGGAGAAAGACCCATCTTTGCTTAACCGTTTCTTGGTCCTGTCTTTTGCTGATCTCAAAGGGTGGAAGTTCTACTACTGGTTTGCATTTCCGGCCCTGAGCCTCAGAGAGCCTGCCAGGCTGCTCCGCCTTCAGAGCGTAGCAGAGGCTTTTGCAGCACCAGCAGCAGCAGAAGAAGTTGCCCGTGTATCGGCAGCATGCAGACGGTGGCGTGACGGGCACAGCATTGACAGTGTAGAAGAAGTGCCTTCTGTTCCTGCTGCTGCTGGATCTTTGCATGGTGACTCGACAGATCCATCCGTCGAGTTATCGGCTTCATTGTTATCCCCATTTGCAGTCTCCTTGCAACGGCAGACAAGTGTGGAGGAGGTAACCTCTGGCGGGGCCCCGTTTTTCCTCATCGGGCTTATCCCCGGTAAAAAGTCTGTTTTGGTTGCAAGCTTGCATCAGTGGGAGGATGTTTGCCACGATGTCGGTGGTCCGGGGAACGTAGTTGTTGCATTTTTTGACCCATGCCACCTTCCCACACACCCTGGCTGGCCTTTACGCAATCTTCTTGTCCTCGCGTCTGTTCGGTGGCGTGTCCAGCGTCCGCGCGTGTTGTGTTATCGGGAAAGGAAAGGACGGTTTGACCCCGCTGCTTGCCCTGTGATTGATGTGCTGGTCCCACCATGTCCTGAAGAAGCGCCGGGGGGTCTTGCCAACCTCCCTTGCCCTGAGGCAGTCGGCTGGGAAAAGAATCGTCAAGGGAAGATGAGTCCGAGGTTTGTCGATCTCTCCCCAGTTATGGATTTGCGACAGCTAGCTCTGGCGGCAGCAGACCTGAACCTGAAACTGATGAGGTGGCGGCTCCTTCCTTCATTGAACATATCCGTGCTGAACAAATGCCGCTGTTTGCTCCTTGGTGCTGGCACCTTGGGCTGCCAGGTGGCCCGTGGGCTGATGGCCTGGGGTGTGCGCCAAATCACCATTGTTGACTACGGGCGTGTCTCCATGTCCAACCCACTACGGCAGTCCTTATACGAGCTAGAAGATTGCCTGGGAGGAGGCAAACCGAAGGCCTTGGCAGCAGCTGAACGCCTTCAGCGGATTTTCCCAGGTGTCATTGCCAAAGGTATTCAGCTGGCCATCCCGATGCCAGGGCACCCAGTTTTGCAAAAGGATGAGGAGTCAGTTAGCCAGACTTGCAAAGATCTCAAGCAGCTGATTGACGATCACGATGCCGTCTTCTTGTTGATGGACACGAGGGAGAGCAGATGGCTACCGACGTTGTTGTGTGCAAGTGCCAACAAGCTGGCCATCAATGTCGCTTTGGGTTTCGATACCTTCCTCGTCATGCGGCACGGTTCCTCCCCATCGTCACTTTGTTCCAGCGATCCCAAAGGTGCCGGCAACAGTGAATGGAAGGCTACAGACGCGGAAAGCAAATCGCGGGATAAGGTAGATGGTGTCAGCAGTAGACACAGTGGTCATGAGGAGGCTGGAGGCAATATTGGCGTGCCACCTGAGAACAGCATTGCTCCTCCAATTGTTGCAAATGAAAAGCAGGCCTCCAGTAAAAGGCTGGGTTGTTATTTCTGTAATGATGTAGTTGTGCCACTTGATTCGACAACAAATCGGACGTTAGATCAACAATGCACTGTGACCAGGCCTGGCTTGGCTCCCATAGCTGCAGCTCTTGCTGTCGAGCTCGTAGTTAGTCTACTGCACCATCCGTTGGGCGTGGAAGCGTCTGCTGATCAGCCCATGCCGGTGATGGTCAGTACAGATCTGCCACTTGGCATCATTCCGCATCAAGTCAGAGGTTTTCTGGCCTATTTTACGCAGATGATGGTAGTTGGGGAGGCCTTTGATCGCTGCACTGCTTGTTCCCATCATGTAGTGGATGCGTATAGGAGAAGGCAAGAAGAATTCCTCCTGCGGGTTTAGTGGTCTCACCAAGTTGAAGGCTGCAGCGCATGATGCCTGTGTAGACTGGGACGAGGATGAGCAAGAGGACGAGGAAGAGTAGGGCACGCCGGTCGAGAAACACTGAAGAGAAGAACATCGGATTGAAGAGGAAAAGGCTGAATGGCGGAGCATGAGGGTGTCACTGCTGTGATGGAAGAGAGTGTGGCTATGAGGAGGAGGAGCAGGAACAGGAGGAGGGGGTGGTGGTGATGGAGAACCGACCATGGCCAAGTTTCAAAAAGGAAAAACGAAAAATATATACTTCCAACGATAAGAGGGTGGTGGTGGCGGTGAAGAGGGAGGGGATTGGACCCCAAGCGGTCATGCATTGTTTGCTGATGACTCTACTTTGCACAGCGCGTAGCAGCGAGCAAGCAAGCTTTGGGCAGATGCAGGAGATGTGACTGTGTGGCAATTGGTGGGTAGCAGGAGGGGACACAACAGAGGGTTTTGTACAGAAAGAGTGTGTTTGTGTGTGTGGGGGATGTCTGTAGGTGGTATGATTAGAGCATTGGGGAGGGGGTGTGTAGGGGGGAGAGGTGGTGGGACGGGAATCATGGGGTATGGTTTAGAATGTAGAAAGTGTGTTGGAGTGATTTATGTCGCGGGTGCGGAATTCTCAGACTCTTCCAGACGTATTACTATATTTGCTCTCTTCTTTATTACATAGCTTACCTGTTATCTATCGGTGTTTCAATCGTTGGGAAATTCAGTTATAGACTTATAGTGCTGAGATTACAGTCACCGTAGATAATGATGCCTGGCATTGCCTGCTGCAATTTTTTGTTTCATATAAAAACACCGAAAAACAAGCACAGTTGTCGTAGAACTGTGGCCAACCAAGATCAGGACAAAGAGCTGATGGTGTTCTGTGTAAGTAGACAACGCAGCAGAGCTCCGCAGGTCGGGTGCACCTTCGTGTTATTTCGTTTTAGTCGCTGTGGTCCATACACTCTGAAAGAAGGAGAAGAGGAGGAAAAGAAGGAAAAGAGGAGGGAAGGGGAGGAGGGGGAGAAGATCTGTGCAGTCCAAAAAGAGGGGAGAAGGGAAGAGGAGGAGGAGAAGATCTGTGTATGTATAGCACATTTCCATTCTATGCCTCGTTTTAATGTAGTGGTGCAGATTCTTCTACAAGAGGAGAGACGGGAAGGAGGAAGAGTAGGAGATCTGTGCATTGCGTGGAGGAAGCACAGAGTTTAACCGCTTAGCATGTGAAACTGTATAGCACATTTCCATTCCGTGCGTCGATTTAATGTAGCAGTGTGGATTCTAACAAAAAGCGGAGAGAAGGGAAGGAGGAGGAGGAGGGAGGAGGAGAAGGAAAAAGGGGAGGAATTTTGCTTTTCTCAGAGGAAACTTCGGATACTTTCATTTGCTTGTACACAGTGTAATCCACATTTTTTAAAGGAGGAGGGGGGGAGGTACTCAGAGGAGGAGGAGGGAGAAGAAGGTGAAGATGATGAAGATGGAGGAGGAGGTTGTTGCATTGCTTGGCAGATAACACTGTCTCTATGAATTCATTGTGTCAGATTTTATGAACGGGTGAGCATGCTTCATTTTTGTTCCTCTTTTTGTCAGCACGCTTGTTTTGATATATGCAATCAGGCTCGCTCTCAGTCACACTTCACATGCCTGCAAACAGGTGCGCAGCAAACTGGCAACAAGCGCCCACTCGAAACTCAGAGATATGGTAGCCAAGAACGCAATTCAGGTACAAGTTCACTTCAATGGCTATGGCGACACAGCGCCCACACAACTCTCTGCTCGCACACACCGGATCACCCTGGATATCCCACACACGATACTCTGTACACACATACACCCTACACTCTACCTACAGCTATGGCGGCTATGGCCGCTGCTAACCTATCGCTATGGCTAAGCTCCTTCTCGCCCACTTCGTCTTCGGGCTCACTGCAGACCACCTCGCACAAGTCGCTGTGGCAGCGCTTCCGCATGGCTTACGCAGTAATGAATGAATGGCTGGACGCTGCCCTTTGATTTATACTTCTGTAGCTCGTTGGTCTGGCCCTTTCCCATGGCCGTGTTGCACACAGTCCCATGCGGTACTTGCTTGACTGGACTAGGACTGACTGGGACTGGGACTGCTGACTCAGCACGGGTAGACTCCACCACTTGCCCACTTGCCTCAGCCTAAACGTGAGCAACTTCGAAAGGCCACTACTAGGACCTTCCAGAAGTCTGGTCCTGGCCTTTCGAAGACTGTAGCAGCTACGACCTTGACCCCCTAGGACTGTAGCAGCTACGACTTATAGAACTCCCTAAGACTTCTACTCGACAGATCTACAGATCGAACCCCTACACCTACAGACCCTACGACCGACTACCACTTCTGCAAACACACCCAGGTCACGGGTTCAACTCCAAGGGTCGACACAGGTACTGTACACAGGTAAGGTGAGGACTGGGGATCGAGCCTTGGGATCTGCATTCGCTACTGCTAATAGGTGAAAACTGTTTCATATATGTGTGATGCGGATGCGAATGCTGCGTAGTAGTCGTACGTGAAGAATGTGATCCAAACCGCCAGTTTCGTGTTGTAAATCATTCTGTTGTGATTCTGAGGCTGGCTTTAGAAGAGCAACCAACTGTTGTGGATACCCTACTCCTAGGCTACCAGCCGGACCCCCCGGGTCACCCGTTTGGCCGGCAACGACCATAGAAGGTCCCAGCAAAAGAAAAAGTTACCAAGAATTCTGCAAAAGACATGTTATGCAGAAACGTAAACTGAAAGGGTGACATCGAAATTCTTTACCAAATTTAAAATAAAAAATAAAATAAAAAACTATTATTTTTATTTTATTGTTTTTATTCTTATGGCCTGGCTGGGCAAGTGGTCCCGGGCCACTCTGGTAGCCTAGCGCTACTCTTTCAGGGGGAGGCGGAGGGGGTATGCACAATGTTCTCTTTATTTTCTGGAGGCTTTGTCTTCTTTTTTTTCCTTCTTTTTTTTTTTTTTTGTGAAACATTGGCTGCGCGGAGTGCTGGTAAGACCAGAAACCCCCTCGACTGACTCCGCCGTTGGATGGCTCCGTTCCGTTCCATTGGCGCGGAGCTGCACTTGCTGGAAACTGGGTCCAGCGTTCCTTGACATTTAACCCTTGACCAAGTCCAGCACAGAGGTGGGCAAATTTTCTTTTTCCTCACCCTCGACCCAACCCGCCCAAATTTTTTTTCCCCCCATACACCCGGCCCAAGAATTTTATTTTTTACTTTTAGACAACCCCACCCACCCAATATATTTTTTTAAATTTCAGCCCCACGCCCGATCCGCCCGTGACCCGAAAAAAGCCCTCACCCACACCCGCCCGCACCCGTAAGAGTATCATCACCCGCCCGCGTCCAATACCTAAATTTTCTTCACCCGCACCCACCMGCATCAGCCCGCGCCTGMCCGTGCCAGTCCCTTACAYSATCACGATTTCATCGGCAACATAGCATTGCAACAAAGACATATAAAATCCTATTCTTAAAACAACGGCAACATCAACAATGCGACTCGAAATTCTCAAAGGAAAATATTTCAAGAATTTTTTTTTTTGCCCAGGGGCAGCTGCACTGCTTTCGCACCGGCGTTACTTTATCAGGACCTGGTCAACTGAATCAGACACTTTTTTCTTTGGCTTTCAACCTCAAGCCCGACATACTACACAAAGGGGGAAGGGGGAGAGGGGGAGGGGGTTGCATAATTTTCGGGTCGTCCTGGGTTTATGGGTCGGGTGACCCAGGACAAGCCATCACCCGCCTGCCACCCACCCAGCGGGTGACCCAGGTCAAATCTTCACCCGCCCGTCACCCAGAAAGGCATGCTGGCTGCACCCGCCCATAACCCACCCAAGACAGCTCATGTAGACCTAAATTCAACCCATCACCCTGTGGGTCGGGTGGGTGCAAGTGGGTGCGGCTCTGGGCGCCCGGTGCCCAGCTCTGGTCCAGCATCCCTGGACATTTAAACATTAAGGATGATTAAGCCATGTAGTATGTTGTGATCTCAGTTGTTATAGAACTGTAGTGCATTGAAACTTTCAGGGGGGCAACAAGCCTCGCTGTACCAGTCAAGACCAGCATACCATAGCTCCCCTGCCTGGGCCCTGTCATGTCGTGGCTGCTGTTGTCTACTGTTGTCTTGATGTCCTCAACAGGGGGAACCATTGCTTTCTGTCAGCTCTGCGTCTTTAGGCAATGGTGCCACTTGTGTAGTGCACCTGCCAGATGCGTTGTCGATCGTCCTCCATGTAGCAGTTTCTCTGCTGGAATATATCTGCAATCGGTCAGCTCTCACATGCAGTCGCTGCTTCATCCGCTCTCCGGGCCTTCCAGTTCCGCCGGGTGAGTGAGGGAGGGAAGAGGGGCCGAGGGAGGGTGAGGGGGGGGCAGGAAAGGGTGGTGAGGGTGCTGAAGGGGCGCTGCGGGAGGAAGGGCAGTGCCACATGGGGCAAGAATGTCTTCTAGGCTTTAGGGAGGGAGTGTTTGGGGCAGGCGGCAGTGAAGGGGCGGGTGAGCAGCAGGCAGGCACTCTGTTATGTTGTGTTATGAGACGAGAACGAAGTTAGGGTGAAGATATGGGATGTCGAAAATATGGGATGTCGAGACAGTGGAATGGTCTTCGTTGGCATGAGGGTTCTTAGACTCAGATTCTCTTGAAACAAACTACAATGATGTATGCTTAAACATAGACAACGGAGCTCTCTCATAAGAAGCTTAAAAGACTCTGGTGTAGTACTTGGTTGTGGTAATTTCCAGTGCACCTAGTGCCTCATTACGCCCTTTCATGTCATCAGATTTTGTACGACCCCTCCAGCAGGTACGACAGCAGGTACGAACCCTCCAGCAAGTAGCTGTTGTAATGTATAAGCTGCTCCAAAACCTTCTAAGGCCCAAACCTCCATCTCTCCCGTTCTCTATCCTCCCCGTTTTGCTTTACCACCAAGACGCTGTTCAGTTACTATAGAATAAGGTCCAGTAGAATGGGGATGTATCTTATCGTCTACTTGGCTTCCTCTGGATGCTGAGCCTGGTGTCAAGCTCAGAAAAATGTGGTGAGGGTCCTGCCAGAGCCAGGCGATAGGCCTGTCGGATGGCCTTCTTAACAGTGGGGTCCTTTTCCTTCCTGTAATCCCTTGTAAAGGCTATCCAGGCCTCGTGTGTACGGGACCTGATGACCGCCTCAATTGTTTGCTGGGATTGCTGCAATCCAAATTGATGGTCTCTTCTTTCAAAGGAACATCTGGCTGTCCAGGCCAGCATCAGGACATGCTGCCTCGCATATGAGAAGAGGTTGGTAGCGAAGGGGGACCATTGTGCCAGCAACTGTTGGTTCTTGCCCAGCAGCAGGAGCCCCAGGTCCCACGGAAATGTGGAACCTTGTGAGGGCATGGAAGGCAGTTTCACCACTGCCACAATTGGGTAACCATAGGGCACGCCAGCAGGTACAACCCCTCCGGACGTACAGACGCGCCGTGTCCGCACTACGGGCAAACGTAGCTCTGCAGACTGTAGAGGTTTTAGCCTCCTGATGAGTTGGTGGGACTCCGACAAAACATTGTAAAAAGCCCCTCGTTGTCCTCTTCTCCCTGTTATACCGGAGCCGCTTTGTTCACAAGGAAGAGAGATGTCCTCAGTGGTTATCTGATTTTGCTTCATGCTCTATTAAAATGTCCTTCGAATGAGCGTGAAAGTGTATTAAACCGTCCTTTGGGACATCCGTTAAACTGGAATGATACAGAGAAGATTAGCATGCCCCCTGCACAAGGGTGACACACATTAATTGAGAAGTGGAAAGAAAAGGAAAACCATTAAACCACAAGTACTTTCCAGAAGTGGAGCCAAGAACGTGCTGGGATGTACGGCCCTGCCACACTGCACAATTGCATTCATGATGAACTGTGCAAATCTGTTGTGATAGGTGGGAAAAGTACGTGTCGCTTCAACCTCGTAGCACATACGAAGAGCTGATTCTGACACCCAAGTACAATGCCGCATCCCCCCCGGCTGATGTTGAAGACCAAAGTGGCAACTTGCAGTTGTTTTGCGATGCAGAATTGTCTGCCCTAAAGTCCAGATTCCAGGTGCGAGTGCCTCTCACTGTCGCGTCTCACAAACTGTCGTTGAAGCGTCTCACCACCCCAAACTTACACTCAATCAACTAGGACGGGTCCAATGTTGACCCTACACAATCCAGCCAGGTTAATGGGGCAGTTTCCCCATTCAACACTGCCTCACTTTCAACTGACAACCAACCCTAAGCTAAGTGGTTTCCCTAAACCGCTT